GATCTCAATCCAAGGTAGTGGGCGCGTGGTGAGATTTTGTTGATGCATGTGATACAAGATTGACCATAGGCATTTCCTGCATTATTTGGGAAGCTCTCGGAGGATTAAACATGAACAGGCTTTTTGGATGAGTCAAACAAGCTTGGCAACACACACACAAAAAGAGGATCCGGCTATATCCGGCTATAACAGTCTAAAAGGGAGTTGCCGTTGATATGATGGAAGTAATTGCTTGTGGTCGTTTGATAGGCTCTACTTTGAAACTAAAACTGACCCCCTCCCAGACCATGTGAAGTGATGCCAAAAGGCAATGAGTAATTCCTTTCCAAGCGTAATAAAAGGACCGGATAACCCCACATGATAAGTTTTACAAATTTCAAATGTATATGAACATCACATGGGAGACGGAGTAGTGAGATGAAAAGTCAAGAACGAAGTGTGAGGAGAGAAGGCATATGAGGCGGTTATGCTCAGACGTGCAGTATAAGTGATGATGTGATGGACGAGGATGAGAAGGAGGGGAGGGAGGAGGTGTGTGTGTGTGTGGTGAGATGGCGTGCGTGTGTGTGTGTGTGTGTGGGTGTGTGATACAGTGTCTGATGATGTGATGAACAAGGATGAGAGGGACGAGAGGGACGAGAGAGAGAGAGAGAGAGAGAGAGAGAGAGAGAGAGAAGGAGGCGGAGAGAGATGTTTGGAGGCTGTGGATTTTGCCATCAGATCCGCATGCGACCTTCAAAACGTAACACACTCGTTACAATGCGATTCGCAGACAGTGAGAACCATGGCTTTGCAAATTATATAGGAGTCGCGCAAAGACAGGCTTCTCTAACATCCTCCCCGCAGCACTTACAATGCGATTCGCAGGGGCCCCCAGCGGCGACAACGCGCGCCGCAGCCCCTTCCGCAGTTCTTGGAGACTGCGCCGGCCACTGCGGAGAGAGCCGGGCCCCCAGCAGCGACAACGCGCGCCACAGCCCCTTCTGTGTCTCTGGAGACTACTTACAATGCGATTCGCAGACAGTGAGAACCATGGCTTTGCAAATCCCTATGGCAGTCGCGCAAAGATAGGCTTCTCTAACATCCTCCCCGCAGCACTTCCAATGCGATTCGCAGGGGCCCCCAGCGGCGACAACGCGCGCCGCAGCCCCTTCCGCAGTCTCTGGAGACTGCGCGGCCACTACGGAGAGAGCCGGGCCCCCAGCGGCGACAACGCGCGCCACAGCCCCT